GGGGCATCTGTAAGCTCGGCTCCTTTTTAGCCAGGCTGCGGCCTGAAGGAATTTACTGCGCTGATGTCACCCGGGAGGATGGAGGTCTGCTGATTTACAGCTCCGCGGATGACCTCTTGGAAAAATGAAACCTAGGTGAGATTGGTTGCTGTTCTTTCCAGAGTATAAATGAAGTGGTAAGCCAGGACCAGCATCAGGTGGCAAAGGAAATTAGAACACAGAAAAAAAGGGGACTTCAAAAAGGATTTGGGGTGAGTAACATCGCTCATTTATAAATCTTCAGTAACATAAAACCGGGATCATTTTTTCCTGAGAGTCATAAGACGTCATTGCAGTCTGTGCACTAAAGAAGAACTCCCAAAGCTCCCAAATCAGGCCCAATGTCTCCTGATTTCCTACCAATAGGTTCTGTATTTCATTCCTTTTCTAAAAGGAACCCTGTTGCTTTTTGAAACAAAACAGAATAAAGCCATCCCTGGAAAGAAAGAGTTTGTGCTGCTGCTTGCACCACCACATTTTTCTGCATTGAAGACCCAAGGTTGCTGAAAGATCTTTACCATTCAACACTACTGAGAGTGTCAGTACTGAGGTACTCCACTGTACTATATGGTTCTCTTATGTCATTTGAGGATACAGTAGTAACTTGCAGGTCAACGGAGGAACACACTTACAAGTAGGCTAAAGATTTTCCATCTTCCAGTATACTCAGATCTTCTATGCAGTAGAGTTCAGTGGAACAAGCAGAAGGACAGGTACGTTTTATTTGTGTTCTTTGCAGGGGTGGCCTTATTCCAACAAAGTAGCGTTAAACTGAAGCTTAGCACCATTGAGTTTAACCCCTTCATGACTGAGGCCTTTTTTTCCATTTTTTGTACCCATGTTATATTCCACATTTTAGGCCTGAAAATGACTTAAAACCCCCAAACATTATATATTTTCTGAATGCCAAGACCCTATAGAATAAAATGGTGGTAGTTGCAAATTTTTATGTTGCGCAATATTAGCGCAACTCCTTATTAAACCCCAACATTTAGTGAAAAATTTAATTAAATGCCCCAAAACACAACAAAATACCCATTTTTTTAATGAAATATAAAAGATGAGGTTACAACGAGTAAAACGATACCCAACATGCCCAGGTTACAAATTGCGTGCGTCCGTAAAACGGCGAAAAACTGCAGTACCCCAAAAAGTCCATAGAAGACGCTTTAAAAGCCCCCACAGGTCATCAATTTAGAGATACCCCAAAATACTGGCCCTAGAATTATTGCTCTCACTCCGGCGTGCGCGGCGATACCCAACATGTGTAGCGCGTTCGTCGTTTTCATACGTAGGCGCACCCGACGCGCCTACTGGGGGTCCAAAATACCCCCAGTGTCACCTTTACACTGGAAATAAGCTATTGAAGTGCAGATCGCACTTCAATAGCTTATAGCTGGGCTGCAGGAGCCCAGAACTGACAGCCCAGGGACCGGAAGTGATGCAATCTGCATCGCTCCCGGTCCCATAGAACGGGGAGGGGATCGATGAACGGAATTCGTCGACCTCCTCCCCAGGTCCCAGCGGACTACGTTGCCCCTCCCGGGCCCGTAGGAGGGGCAACGGAGCCCGGGAAGCACGGCAGGGGTGTCCGGCGAAGGGGGCGGCCCCTTCTTCGGGACGCAGAAGTGATCTGGCGCCAGGATCGCTTCTGTTGTAAAGCCGACAGTCGGCTCTACAAGTTTAAACAGACTCCCGGCGACGTTTGCCGCCGGGAGTCTGTTTAAACAGCCCCGATGCTGGCGACGTACACTGTACGTCGTCAGTCACGAAGGGGTTTAAAAGACTTTCCTCCAAATTTCGAGTTCCTACTTTCTACAACTGTGACGGCTTTTCACCAGTTTTGTTTGGGCCAATGTTCCTCCTCGCTTGAGATACAGTGTGGTGACCCTTTCCAAACATTCTAGAGGCATTGGCCTTCCGGACCTGGCCAAATATTACAAAGCCTCGCTGCTTACCAGAGTGGTTGACTGGTGCTGTCATGGTAGTGTTAAATGTTGGGTTTCTATGGAGGAGGGAGATTCTCCGGTACCACTAGCGGGTTTGCAGTTGTTGTTGGCCCATGCCCCTCCACCCTCACCCGACTATTGCCCCGATGGTCCATCAGGCGCGATCTCTCTTCAAATCCACCTCCCTCTCCCCGTTCCCCTCACCCATGACTCCAGTATTGGGGGACCCGAACTTTCTATCTGGCAAGGATGGCCGTAGGCTGCGACGTTTGTATGAGGTCTTTCATGTCTGTAACTTCCGGGAGCGGGACTAATGGCTTTCCATTGAAGACATTCATCTTACTGTAGATCCCCCATTGGATCGTTGGAGTGCTATTCAACTCAGACATTTATTACGTTCTATTCCCAATCCCCAGGCTCTTTCGCAACCTTTACGTCTTAGCAGCGCTTTGCCGCAGTGGTACACTGGCTTGACATGTGGTATCGTATATCTACTCTAGTCTGGCGGTACCTACTCCCACTTCGGAACCTAGTTTTGTGGCCAAATGGGAGAGGGATCTCGATCTACAATCCTCTCCGGCTCTAAATGACCGTATATACTTTTTTGCCCATAGATTGCTTGTAAAGTCCAGGAACAATGCTATAAAATAGCCTCCCGGTGATATAAAGTACCTACCTGGTTGCATTCTATGTTCCCTCAGGTCTCTTCTCTCTGTTTGCGCTGTCAGTCGGCCACTTGCACACTGTTACACATTTTTTGGACCTGCCCAAAAGTGGGTACCTTTTGGGATGCAGTTTTAGGGATTGCCGAACAATTGACCATGGCAAATTTGAAGGACAACCCAGCAGCTTGCTTGTTCCACCTCATGGATTGCTCCACCCTCAAATACAACTCTTGTTTAACTGTACATTTATTGAACGCTGTGTGCATGTGTGCATTCCCTTGCTTTGGAAACAAATCACCTCGCCATCTTTACGTATGTGGATTGACAAAGTGGATGACATTTTTCGCATTTGAAGACCTCACTTCCACTCTGAAGAATACAGAAGAGAAATTTGGGTCCACCTGGGGCCCATGGCTGGCCTATCAATATTCTGATGCTTATCTCCAAATGAAGTCCGGAAGCTCTCCTGGTTGAATCCATGCATTTCTTCCAAGAGCTGACTCCTATGTTGGCTCTCATTGATAGTGGGTCTGGGGGGTCGCTAACTTTTCTTGCTTGTTTCTTTCTGTTCCATTCTTCTTTACTCTCCTGTCAACTCGAATGCTGATGCAGCTCTACCCATGGTCCAGAGCATGGACGGGGGGAGCTTTGCCGAATTCTGATTGGCTAATGTTGATTAAAGGAGGGCATGTGTCGGACTCTTCATTGGTTCCCTGTTGTTGACAGTGAGAAACCCCGCCTTGCCTGGTCTCAACAAGATGATTCCATGTACATTACAAGCTTTCCATATTGACAGGGAAGCAAATCATCAGCTACATCTGCTCAGGTGCTTCTTTCCCACCCATTGGCTCCTCAGATCATCCCCGGCGAGTGCCTGCCGGTCCACACGTTGGAGGCACCCTATAACACCGGGAAGAGCTTCTCCTCTGGCCTGGCCTGGCCTGGCCACTGCTGGCTTCTGCACCACCAAGTACCTGATGGAGGAGTGGAAGCAGGCTGGCTACACGTCCTTCTACCAGGCGTTGAGTGACAGGGACTGCTCGGAGATGAACCACATGGTGCCCTGGTGGTTGGTTGCTAGGTTGCCAGGTGGTCCTAGCAACTAACTGGCAGCAGCCAGGGGGTTGATTTGAATAATGACATCGCCAATCTGCTGTCTCCGTGGTTCAGAGAATTTTCACTAAACCATGGAGCGGTGCCCCCCGTTCAAGTGATGCCATATGTGCCATACCCTGGATACACCACTGAAGAATAGGCATCTAGGTGGTGTCATTGGTTAGAAAGCGGCCTATTTTGGCGATATTAGGGAGGTGAAGGTGTCAGGATTTGGACTGTGATTGGATGTGGGGCTGAAAGGTGAAGTCAGAGTCCAGAATTCCACTGATCACCTTGGCAGGAGTGAACCAAGTGATAGTTGTCCTATTGACCTTGATGGAAAGGTAAATGGTGGGGGCATGGCAGGGGGGAGGAAATATCATCAGCTCACTTTTGGAAGCGTTGCGTTTGAGGAAGTGGTGTGACACTCAAACTGATATGTCAGCCATGTACTGAGAACACTGAGGGGTGAGCTGAGGAACAGAGAGACAGATTTGGGTGCTGCCAGCATAGTGATGATATTGGAAGCCATGGAAGGCAATCAACTGACCCAGGGAGGAGGTGTCAATATAGAATGGAAGGGGCCCGAAGACACAGCCTTGGAGGACCCCTATGAAAAGTGGACAAGGAGATGGAGTTGTAGGTGACACTGAAGCTCAGATAGGTTGGAGGAGGACCATAAGTCAGGGAGCATTATGGGCGGCAGGCAGTTCAGATCACGCAGAGCAGTGACGCGGCCGATCCGCCCTGGCGTGAACGAGGCCTAAAAGAGCAGAGAATTGGAGCCTGACAGCGAGGATTTTTTTTTGCGGAGGGGCGTGTGCCAACTTTTTCCATAGTGTTATATAGCTTTAACATAGCGTTATTCAACAAACACAGAATTCAGGAGCAAGTCAGGCCAAAGTCAATGCAGAAAGATTTGTCTCATAGGGTTAGTTCATACTTGTCATGGATGAGGCTCTCCATCCTTTGGGGTTTAGCCATACCTGCTATTATTTTCTGAATTACTTAGTGTTGTTTCAAAAGTCATCATTATTTTATTCAGGCAGTCTCATAACCCAAACCTCACTTTATTCTATCAGTTTACAGCGGTTTCCATTAAAACATGCAACCTGGCAGCTGCCCAGAAAAAATGGGCAAACTTCCCTTCTCCAACATGGCCGCCCACGTTTCCTGGGCCTCTTCCAGGATGACAGATGCTGACATCAAGCTCCAACCCCCTCTCACTCAGCTGTGCGGTACGTCTGACATCACCGCGCTCAGTGGCACAGAGAGAAGCAGAAGAAGGCTGTGGGAGCGCACGGAGAGTCGCCATGAACCTGAAACGGAGCCGTGACCGGCTGTACAGCACTCGGTGCTGCGGCTGCTGCCATGTGAGGACCGGCACCATCATCCTGGGCACCAAGTACATGGTAAGCGGCCGTGTTACTTCGTCCGGGGGGACAGCAAGTCTCAGCCAGGGTAGAGCACATGGGGGAGGGGCGCCTAGGTGACAAGAGTCTTAAAGGGTACATGTCCTTATAGAAATGCAGTTGTCAACTACAGATGAAGTATGGTCCCGCTTGTCATTGGCTGTCAGTAGCAGACTGGGGGCATGACAGAACATGAAATAAGCCCGGCTGACCATGTGATCTAATACCTTCAATGCTCTGAGTCACATGACCCAGCGCTGTCCTGCAGATCAGAAGGTCTGACTTATCTTGCTTGTTCCAGGTCTGTGACTCAGCATTGCACAGCCAGGCACAGGGTTCCGTCCCTATAATGAGGTGGCAGCAGTATCCCAGGGTGCTAAGGGACCCCAGGCACCAACACCACCCCTGCTGCCCCCTGAACGACATTGCACCAGGTGGCATAAACCTTAGTGACAGCACTGGCCAGGCTTGTAGCATTGCTATGATGTCAGCTCCCCCCCCCTCCCTCCTCATTTCTCCAGGTTTCTTTTACAGTTCACCTCGCAATACTAAAACACTTTGTTCTGGCTGGGTAGGGATCAGTACAAGCCTTCTAATGCATGGCACTGCTTACTTTTTTGTTGTGGGGAACCTCTGCTAGAGCTGAATATACCCAAAGCTCTCGGGTCATTGCAAACAAGTATAAATAAGATTATATAGACAGAGGCGTATTGCTCAAAGGGGAAGGTGGGTGATGAAGTCATCACTGCTCTCTTCTCAAAGAACCAACTAGGAATGTCAGGAGGAAGTCTAGGGTTCTACATAATTCTGGTTGAGAAAGACCGTTGCTTTTTTTGTTTTTGTTTTGCATGGAGTGGGGGAGGGTCAGTTTTTATTGCTGCCCGTGTGTCCAATGGGGTGATTGCATGCCCCCCCCCCTTTTTGTACTGGTGACCGTTGTCACTGAGAAACAAAATGAGGGAAAAGCTAACATTTTAGAGTCGTCCTCAAAACGAGGTGAGGGGAAATTTTCCAACCGTGACACCTGTTCTGGGGGCAACGAAGAGTGTAATTCACGTCACTCTGGGAGCTTTCCTTTAACTTCCTGTTGCATCTCTGGGACATGCCGCCGTAGATGGCCAGAGGCTGCGGGCACGCGGACAAGCTGAGGGAGAAAGGAGAGCGAATATCAAACTTGATCTCAGGGTGGACTTTTTGGTGCTCGCCAGAATGGATCTCAGTATCTTATGGGCCTGCATTGGGAAGGGAAGTCGGCAAATCCCATTGACTTTATTTGAGCAGTACCAAGACTGCTCTTGGCTTGACTGTAGAGAGCATACATCGGACACTTTGCATTGACCTGCGTGTTTTTTATCCAGCATGTCCTGTTGAGGTGGGTTTGGACTGCAGGCAATGCAAGTCAACCACAACTTTCTCCTCCTAAATGTCACATTTTCTATTTGAATGCCTGTATGTGCCAAGAACGTCAGTCCATGCGGTGGGGGTGCTAAAATGCCAAACTGGGGCTCCTGATGCCTCTGAGAGCGTATTCTGGCAGATTGTGGTTGCATTTATGTTGGGCAATATTTATTAGCTGCTTAAAGTGGTCCTTCATCCATAAAATGTACTTCCTCTTAGCCACCTCCAGCCCCTTCCTCTTCTACAATCATATTTTGTATATTTTTTTCTCTTAGTAGTGCTGGGTCCGCCCGCCTCCTGATCGCTCATGTAGACAAGGATGGCATATTTATCAGCCACCCGCTGCCTTTTGGAATGTCCACACCGCACTACCCAGGAGGCAATGTTTCTGGCCACGCACGCATGTGCAGAAGTGTCATAGGTCTCGGCCGGGTCCCAAATATCTGGCAGTACCCCGTGGCATGTCTGTACAGACGTTGCCGTGCACGTGTAATGTCGTATTGCACAGGTGTGAATGGGGGGCTGAGGGCTCGTGCATATGGTTGCAGTGGGGCATTCAACATAAAAATGTGGGTGGTAGCCCAGGTAAAGCGTACAGCTGCCCATGGACATGTCAACCTGCAGACAGATCTACTCCCCAAACACAGAATTTCAGCCCTCAGCAAGTGCATCCATAGGCTATGGGTACAGCCAATCACAGCCAATACAACTCCTTCACAATCGGCAAAGGAGGGAGTCCTTCACATGATGATCTTCAGCCTTAGCGGGTCCTAGGGCTTTTGCAGTCTGCTTATTACAACCCCAACCCCCCTCTTTATTGGTTCATTCACAGACCATACTTTTCCTAATAAATAAAGCCTGGATTAGAGGTTTGGACTGTAACATGTGACCAACTGAAGTCTCCTGCAGAGAACAGTGGGGCCGGGGATGAAGGGGGGTGATATCGGAATGCAAATTAACTGAGTCATGTTTTTTGTATTGCTTGCATGTCAGTTTTTTTCTCCTGTCTTGCGCAAGCCCAGGGGAGAATTCTGGAGAAACAGTTGGCTGCATCTTCCTATAATTCGTTCTTCTTTCTTGAAAACATTTGCATGCCATCATTCAGATTTAAACTGTTCCCCTCAGTGGAGGAGACCTTGTGCTCTGCTAATGAGGGCCTTGAGGGGTGGGGGATAGATATACTTTGTATGTTCTCTGACAGCCTACTTGGTATTCTAACCAGTTTTAAGTTTCTTGTATCTGAAAACTTGGTTGCATAAGGAGGGGAAGGAGGCTTTGAAGTGACTCTGTCATAGGAAAAATATGGGGGCTGCCATTGCTGACCTCTCCTGTTAGAATGATGTTTCCCTGGCTGTCATGCTGATGCTTCCATGCTTCTTGAGTCTGTGACCTAGAACAGATGTAGTGCTAAGGAATTCGGAAACTTTTCTGAGACTGCGTTACAGCATGCTTGTTCATGGTCTGGGACACTTGAGAGTCTAGCTCACTCAGGCAATTAGAATTTTCATAAGCGAGCCACCAATGGTGGTCCCCATAGTTTTTCTTATGGCAGAGTCACTTTGCAGTGAACCTGTGGTGCTTTGCTAATGTAGGGCAAAGAGACAGGTTCACCTTTATGTCCAGTCTACCTCCTTCATAAACTCTCCTTACTTGTTGCTTTCTTGCTACTGCGTTGGCTATTAGAATCAACCTGAAATACCCAATACTTCTGGATATAGGGGATCATGTGACTCCCATGTGACATTGCTGGTGCTTGGGAATTGGTAGGTTAGGCACCAGTGCCATCCCATTGGGGTGAGAAGGGTCCTCGGCTATGTGTAAGCTCCAACTTGGGTTGACTCGGAACATGCACAGGGCTTCTTCTCTCTGCTCCCATCAGCAAAAGAAATGCAAGTCAAGGTGCTGCAGGAGACAACATTCACGGGATCGGTAAAGGTTCTCATTCGTCCAGGTCATGGTATAGCTGTAAAAAATAAATCAAGTCAACTGGACTTGCCAACTAGCCTTTTGAATTCTGAACTGAGAGAGCTAGTTAGATGACCAGCTAAACATCTTCTTGAAAAAGACAGCAAGTCCAGTTGGCTTGATTTATTTTTTACAGATATAACTTTTTAAAAGGAACCTTTTTACAACGTTTTACACATAAAGATTTCATACATGACAATGGATCCCCAGAGCCCTATGTGTTAGACAACATATGTATGAAACCATTTTGTTTTCTTTTAAAGTACCGTAATAGGGATAAGGTCCTTTTGTCAGCTGGCTCGGACAGATTTTACATGGTCATACAGGTCTACGGGAATGCAAAACCTGCTTGAAGCAGAACTGATTCAGGTGAGAAGGAGATCAAATCTGCCAATCCATGAATTCTGAACCATCTCAGAGGTGTCTCAAACTGAGCCATGGACACAAGCCTAAAGCTTTCATCATCCTTTCTTAATTGGCTGCAGAAATTGTAGTTCTGTGATCTCATGGTGGACGGTCACTTGAGGCCATTGACCAAAAGCTCCTATTTTGGTAAACACTGGGGAGAAGAATCATCTCAACAGGCCTTTGCATCTCCATAGACCTCTACAATTAGATTCTGTCCATTTCCCGACTGCCATGATTGTTTTATTTTTTTGCATGGAAATGAATCTAACCAGTCCGAATGTAATGGGGATGAACAAAGGCAGACATGTTTAAAGTCCAGCCTAGGTGGCAGCCATGATTCCCTTGATAGATACATAGTCAGGTTGAAAAAAGACACATGTGCATCGCATACATTGGAGGAGCGATTGTAGCCACTTAGAGATTGGAAGTGTTATTGACACGATCACAGTGGTAAAAATGGTGCGACCATTTCGGTCTGATTTTATAATGGGTTCTCCTGGCATTACACCTGCTAGATGGCACCGAGTAGTAATAAATTCCATTGCTCATCTACAGGGCCAGATTTCCCACTAGGCCACTGAGGCCCGGCCTTGGGGCGGCAGGGGTGTAGAATCTCCCGACGCCCGGGACATGCAGTGCCGGGCAGGTAGTTGTTTTGGGCAAGCAGGGCTAAATATAGAGCGGATAAAACCGCTCGTTCATGTACAAGTGATCTGGGCGATGTCGCCAATATCACTTGTAATAACACTGCAAATAAAAAGGAAACAAAAACAATAAAAAAATTCAAACTAACACTGCCGCCCCTGCCATCTGGTTACCATTCTCCATTGGCGGGGGGTGCATTGAGGAACCTGGCCTGGGGGCAGCAGAGAGAGGAAATCCGGCCCTGCTCATCTACTGGACGTTTTGTAAAGTCAATGCCGTTTGCCCAGCTATAATTTGGGGCGAACCAGATATAAGTAGACTTGTTAATGTTGGGAAAATGTTTCTTCGCACTCTCATCCAGTTCAGATATCCCAAAAGTCTTACATATTTCTAATGTGTGTGTTTTGAGAAGCTTTTGGCATAAACAAGCTGTAACTGGATTTGTGAGATTCTTCTAGAGTCTGCCCTTTGCTAAATGTGTACGATTCTTGGTCTTTGCCTATCTGTGATTCTGGAAGGAAGCATGTGATGTCTCTACACCCTCACATACGTCCTGCTTTTGAAGAGATAAGACGTTTTCTGCC